CAGGGTCTGCCCCGTCCCTGTGCCAGGCAGGACGTGGTGGCACCTGGCCCGCAGAGGCTGGCCCGCCCGGGGTAATTAGCAGTGTCCGGATGGGCACTGTCATTACGGCTTTATTTGGCTTCAAGGCTGTAATTTGCTCAGAGCCTCTGGGTGCTGCCTGCTCCCCAGGGCGGCTGGGCTGGTCACGTGCCCCTGGGCACGGCCCCGGCCCCATGCTCAGCCCCTGTCCCCACAGGCACTTCCACAGCATTGAGGTCTTCACCCACTATGACCTGCTGACGCTCAACGGCTCCAAAGTGGCCGAAGGGCACAAGGCCAGCTTTTGCCTGGAGGACACCAACTGCCCCGCCGGTAGGTGCCAGCTGCAGAGCTGCCAGTGATGCCCCTGCCCTGCTCCCCAAGGGAGGCTCTGCCCATGCCCTCCCTCACCTCCCTTCCTCCCCACAGGTCTGCAGCGACGCTTTGCCTGTGCCAACTTTGGGGAGCAGGGAGTAAGCGTGGGGTGCTGGGATACCTACCGCCATGACATCGACTGCCAGTGGATCGACATCACTGACGTGCCTCCGGGCAGTTACACCTTCCAGGTATGTGGACAGAGTGGCAGAGGAGGCACCAAGCCGTCAGAGCTCAGGTGCCCTTCACAGGCACTAGCAGCACCCCTTACCCTGCACATCGGGGGTGCTGCTCTGCATCCCACAGTGCATGCCACAGCCCTGCCTGGGCAAGGCGTGGCAGTACTCTGGATGGGGACCAGCAGTTCCCCCAGACCTGCCTCTTGCCCTCCCCAGGTGGTTGTGAACCCCAAGCATGAGGTGGCCGAGTCAGACTTCTCCAACAACGTAATGCGGTGCCAGTGCAAGTACGACGGGCAGCGCATCTGGATGCACGGCTGTCACACAAGTATGGAGGCACAGGAGCAGAGGGGTCACATTGGGCAGGGTGGAGGGAAGTGATTTGGGCTAGGGGTGCCACAGCTCCTCACCCATGCCATCACTGTCTCCAGGTGATGCCTACGGCGCTGACGTGGTGAGCGATCTGGAGCGACGGGAGCGCCTGGCCAACAACCTCGTGTGACCCCTTGGCATCGGCACACTCCCAGCAGCACCCAGGGGCAGCTTGGTACCTGTGCCCCGGTCCCTGCGCCCTGGCATCACCAGACTAAGCTCAGGGACTCAAAGACTCATGTACCTATTCATGCTGCTGCAGAGGATGGAGACAAGCACCTGGTCCAGGGGGGAGCACCCAGGGTGCCTAGCATTGTGTGGCCACCAGGATCTGCGAGAGGGGCCTGGGTACCACAGCAACCCCCACCTGTGTGGCTCTGGTGACCCCCAGGATGACTACCTCAGCCTGCCCACCTGGATCTCATGACCCAGC